CTTTTATTATTATTTCTCCACAAATGTGGAGATCCTTTGGTTTTCTTTCTACTTTAAAGTACTGGAGTTCTAGAAAATATTAGAACTTTTCTCTCTAATGGAGCAGCATGGAGGAGATCAAGATACAATAATAACTCCTTGCTGACCTAGAGGAGTTCCTCTACAACCTTGGGCAGGTAACTATAAAATGCAAGCCCAGTGCAATCCACCTCCCCAAGTCTGCCACTCTGCTTCACAGATGGTACATATAGAGATGTCTCAACCTCCTGGCTCCTGGGTCTCACACATCCTAGGCTCTTTCACAGGTAGAAGCAGTTCCTATTCCTCTGCTTCCCATTCCTTATGCCATGTGTTCTCAAGAACAATGTAATAAACAAACAAATGAATTAACATTTATAAAAGGAGGGAATCCAAACAGATATAGGATACCAGGAAGTCATCTAGTCCACATGATTATCCTTTAGGATGAGGACTATAAAGTTTGAGACAACTGAGAATCATTAAGTCCTTTAGCCTAGGAATGTGGTTCTCTGCATGATACAGTCAGAACTGAACTACTGAGATTTTGTTCCACCTTAACCCTAAAACCATCTGACCAATTTTATCAAGGACTCTTTGTAATTCTTCTCCTCCTTAGACAAATAATTCTTCCCCAAGGGTATAACCCTAATCTTTTCCCTGGTTATTTTCCCAATTACATGGATCCTCCAACTCCATGACCTCAAGGAGTATTCAAGTAACATTCACTACTTACCTTCAACAGAAACACAGCAGGGCTGCCAAGGCCCATTACTGAAAGGCCCACTGCCAACAATCCAGGCAGGTACACAGCTTGCACCTCCAGGTGCTGAAGGAATGCCAAGCCTAGCCCACTACTGTCCTCTAGTCATTCCTGCTTTTCCTGGACACAACCAGCCAGGCAGACTTGAGGCCTTTGGCTAGCTAGGTGCTTCCCTATTGTGGCACTTGATGGCAAACCATCCAGAGCACAGAGGAAATAGAGCCAAGGAACTTATTAGAGTTTGGCAAAGGAAGAACTAGGGCATCTACCTAGTGTCTAAGCCAGCTCAGTTGATCTCATTTGAACTACAGGAAGAAGGGCATTTATGGGGGAGGGCTCTAGCTGTGGTGTTAGGAGGTAGGAGGTTCACACATGGGAGTCACTCCAGGCAGAGACTGCTCATGGGGGTCATATTACATAAGACCTACACATGTTTCTGGTCCTCAGGGATTCTGGCCCCAGACAAGGGAGGTCTCCACAATTACGGCAGCTGTGCCTTCTCCAACACTGAAAGAGTGACTGAACAGGTCAACAACACCTGCTGCCAACCTCATGCTAGCTCTCCAGGCCATTGCTATGAAGAGCCAGGTCATCTTCCTGTTCAGGGAGAAGCCCTTGTCACCTTCCTCAATTGCATCTCATTTTCTTGGTACTTTTCTATAGTACGTAGATGTTAATTTTACAATAGATCATTAGAATGCATTCTCTCCATAGAATATAAGCTTCCTCAGTAGAATGTAACCTCCCTTGCTTTAATTTTAAATATATGAGGATAGAGACTTTTTTTCTGTTTTGTTTATTGCTATAATTTCAGCGCCTAGAACAGTCTTTATATAAAAATATTCAATTAATATTTATAAAGTGAATGATTAAAAAAAACCATTCTCAAAAAGAAGTTACTTGGAATGATATCAATAGATAGGTATTTATTTTTAAAAAAATTATATAGACGTAGGAATTTAATAAAATACAGAAGTACATTCTGAGTGACAAGTACAGTGAACTTCTTCAATGAATCAAATAGTCATCACAAAATCAAGAGGTTAGCAGCGAAGTAAAATAACCAATATGCTTAGGCAACATTTTTCGGATATTCACCAATAGCTAATGTAATGGGTAGTTAAAATATAAGACATTTTCAGAATACTATGAAATTAAAGGATTTTATTAGGTCTAGCAGCTTCTATGGTTGTGGAGGGAAATGTATATTTCTTATACCCATATGTCTACCAGTCCAGCGAGGTTTGGTGGAGCCCTTCAAATGAGTGTCTCTTTGGTCACCATGTTGCCTCCTCTTGGTTCTCACTGTTATACGGCAGGAAAACTTAACACAGGGTCTGCATTTCCCACAAGGATTGTCATAAATACCTTGTGGTACCATAAACCATCATATGGGAGAACATCTGGTGTTGACTGAAGCCTAGAGAAATATACAGATGTGGTGACCAGCAACTCAGAAGGCAATTGCTTCAATTATTTAACTACATATGGGTAGAGTGCCTCATGTGGTTTTCAAAATGCATTACTTGAACACCTATGTGCATATAAAGAGGGTAGCCTCATGCATGCTGAGATAACCACTGAAGCATATCGTTCTTAGTCACAGAGGAAAAGATATTATCATGTGTTATACTCATCTGATTAGTAGTACATGTCAATTACATTGGTGTTTTGCCTGAAAGTCAGGATGAAATTTTATGCTTGCTGTGGAGTGGCAGACATATTTTCCCTTGGGTGGCCGCAGGAAAAGTGCCAAGAAGTGCATTTTGATTAGTATGCTGTATTCATTCACAGACTTGCTTTCCAAGGCTTTCATTTCTTTTAAGTAAAATGGTATGTGGAAAATTTTGCAAAAACCAAGACTTTTTAGAAAGTTCATTTGCTAATTCCTTGATGAATGATGGTATGTGTTGGGATAGGTGAAATCACACTTGCATTTAGTATAAGGATATCTTAGATAAATATATTTTTGCACTGCTAATATCATCACATTTGTCAATGTTTAACTTCAAAGAGTACATTTCCAGTTTAACTTTTAATTTAGGACAAAGATGAGGATATTCAATTGAAAGAGATTGACAGAAGAGAAAAAATGAATTACAGACAATTAATTACATATAAACCCACAATTTGAAGGTTACCCAAAACAATGCTAAATCAGTTTGCCAAACAATTAATTTTCTTTTCCTTCTCTCTAAAAAATGACAGTGACCCAATTCCTAACACATAGGTTGAAATTTGTCATCTATTCATTCAATAAATATTTATTAAGTGGTCATTACATGCAAAATACTAGATTCAAATGTGAAGAAAACATACTCTCAAAGAGCATGCAATTGTGTAATTGTGTGGAAAGTAAGGAGAAAATGCTAGAAAACTCCAAAAAAAAGCACAAATAAAACAAAACCCTCAGTTACCACACAAAATTGAGCCTTGTGGTTATTTGGTTATTTGAAAACTTAGTTAAATACTCTTAAATATTTAATTCAATTAAAAAGTTACAAATATATCTTTATTCACAAATCCTCTAATGTAGAACCACAGCCTTTCTTCTGAGCATAAATCTGGTGATAAGACTAAAGTTTTCTTTCACAACTTTAAAGCATTTTTAAAATTAGAACTTGGAAATTTTTGTAAAAAAATATGAGCACAGGAGTGCAGAATTCTTTTAAATCTTTTAATCACCATACCCTCTCCTTCAAAATAATCTTATCTTCAATATATCTTATTCCAAAGAAAAATATTTAGCAATTCATCTTCATGAAATCTTTCTAGGGTATTCTAATTAGTTTTCTTTGAAATGATGTGTTTTGATATATATTTTTCATTCCCATGTTTAATTACATTTTGTAATTACTATAAAAGCACAACAGACATATGTAGGTTTGGAAACATACATATATGACTCACAAGCTCAATTAGTAGGAGCAGAAATGCAGGTGCATCCTTGAGAGTAGCCTATTAGAATGCAGAGGCATGTGTTTTTTAGAAGGAATACAGAGTTTGGGCCAGAGTACAAATTTGCTAAGATATTCCCCAAGAAAATTAATCATCAGATAGAATAGATTAATGTTATTTCTGGAATCATTATCTGTATGAAGGAATGATTTATATATTGGTAAAAGCTAGGGATAAATTGAAAATATCTCTAGTCTTTCTAGAAAGACTCTAGAATCAGAATAGATCAATACTGAAACAAAAGTATACCAAGCCATAGTGCTAATGGCTTTGTCAAACAGCTACAAGATATAATGCTGTACCTTCAAAACAATGGAAATATTGGCATTTTCAGATATACTGCCGACCTAAGAGCAATAGACAACAAATTACAAGGTAATTTTACACTGCTAGAACAATGTTCATTTTAAGAGAATGAAATATAACATATCTGCTATGGCAGTTACATTTCATAATTGAAGAATATTAGAATTACAAAAAGAATTGGTTGACCAACTGAATAAGGCAATGTATATTTACTGTGCTTACTAAGATTGTGGATCTTCCTTATTGTTCCAGAGACTTAAGAAACAGGATTGTGTTTCTCTTTCTATTTCCAGCACATAAAACAATGCCTTACACATGGCAGACTCTCAAATAAAATGTTAGAATGAATGTTCTAAAGAGCATAACCATGGGTTGGGCGTGGTGGTTCACGCCTATAATCCTAGCACTCTAGTAGGCTGAGGCGGGTGGATTGTTCAAGGTCAGGAGTTTGAAACCAGCCTGAGCAGGAGCGAGACTCCATCTCTACTAAAAATAGAAAGAAATTAATTGACCAACTAGAAAATACATATACAAAAAATTAGCCGGGCATGGTGGCGCATGCCTGTAGTCCCAGCTACTTGGGAGGCTGAGGCAGGAGGATCACGTGAGCCCAGGAGTTTGAGGTTGCTGTGAGCTAGGCTGACACCACAGCACTCACTCTAGCCTGGGCAACAGAGTGAGACTGTCTCAAAAAGAAAAAGAGCATAACCACAATGCTAGAGCAAAGTTGTTCCTCACATGTTCAATATGTTATTACTTTACCCTGATTTTAACAAAGGTCACAAGAGACATCTATTAGATAGCTACAAAGAGCTTACTGTCTTGACTTAATGCCTAGGAAGAAATTAAACAAGGGTGGTTCAACAACAGAGTTCTATGACATCTGTAGTGTTCAGTGATTCTCAGAATGAGACAGACTTTTTTTTTTTTTTTTTTACATTTAAAGAGTAATCTCTGGGAGTCTCATTGGTAAGATGCTCTGCTATACTTTTTGAAACAAATAGAACACGGATATTTGGTTTTTGCAGAAATTATGATTTTATTTTTCCATTCAGTATTTATAGTGGTATGTTTCTTGATTATTTTCTACATTTTTCTCACTTCTGGTGATTTTATTCCACACAGATAAGGTGGTCAATTTGTTTTGTACAAGAACATTGGTCCTCCCTTGGTGGCTCATGTTGTTCCAGAAGTGGCTTGTCAGTTTTAGCCCTTTCAGAGTACAGGAAATAGAGTGGAATGTTGGCATTATTCTATTTTTGGGGAGCTATGATTTGGTAGCAGAGAGATTCAGTGCCTTTCCTGGCTTTCTGTCACAGTGAGCTCTTATCTTGACAGAGATCACTAAATCTGCCTTCTGGAGACCCAACTAAGCAATTTGGTTATCTGAGTTGGGACCAATTTGTTTTATCTACTCATTTCAATATGCTTAAACATTTTCATTTTCAATTCAGCTGGACATGATCTCTTTATGAATTTACCATGGTAGATAAACAGACCTGTTAGATGTGGAATAACTTTTAATTAATGTACCCTGCATTATTGCTCAAAGATCAGTCAAAAAAACAGACACCACTCTTAATCTTATAAAGAAGGACTTTAACATGAGGGATTGTTAACAGAGGCTGAAAAGCAACCCATAGATTAGCAACAGCAAAAAGTCACTACAACCCCTAGAAATGGAGGGCAATGGGAAGAAATGTGTTACCAGAACCCAAAAGCAGACTACTGATGACTGCTCTGACTGCCAGAGCTGGAAGTGTGAAGTGGGAGGGCCTCTCTGCCAGGCTGCAGGAGCTGTCCAACAGGATAGAGACACAGAGACTTAATCACTACAGATACACCAAAGGAAACAGAAGGAGAGGGAGAAATATTTTGATTTTTCCTCAACTCCCATTTCCTCATGATTAAGATGATCTTGTAAGTCTTGGAGTCTTGGAAGGAGTAGGAGTCTCAGAAATGTACTTCAATGTAGTAAAGAAGAGAAAGAAAGGGAGGTAATGGATCTAAGTACAAAAGAACTGATGACTGACACACCTGCACTTAAGCAGTTTCCAAATAAGGTGCAAAACCAAAATGTACAAAAGGTAATCCATTGTGTTTCAGGAAGAAAACATGAGATCTTCTTTATTAGTCATTTTTATCTAATATGAGAAATAAAACGTTGTTATTATTTAACATTTGGAGTGACCCTGACAGTATCATTCAGTTTCTATGTCATATGGGCATGTCCTTTTCATAAGGTGATAAAGGAGCATGAGGCAAACAGGACACCTGAGTCAGTTAACCTGGAAGGGGAAGGAAGCATTCTTCTTTGTCTTCTTTTAGCATACTGCATCATTTGGCAGTGTGTCTAACCTGGGTTTGTGGATTTATTAGTTGTAGGAGCTAATTTAGACTATACTAACCAGCACTAAGTGGACAATGAATTAAAAAGATTGACAATCATATTAATAACGCAAGCACAGGTAAACAATAGAAAAGCAGCAGAACTGTCTCTAGTAAAACAGGCCTTTATTAGCCATTTCACAGTGTAAACAATGGTGATTTAATCAGAATGGACAAAATATTGGCCAGAAAGTGCAAAATTATATAAAAGATCATTTGAAATATGAGTTGACTTCCATTATTCATAAAAATAAACTTTGCCCTACATCCCTTTGGTATCTTGAGAATTAACAAATTGCAGTATTACAGAGACAGATCATAACCCCTACATATTATTTTTATAAAAATTTCAATCCCTATACAGCATTTCCTTCTTTATTAGAATTTTTTTCTGATATTTACATATATGCTTTAGTATTATTGGCTAATAAGTCCTGTTTGGAGTAAGAGATTGTAAGCCTATGTTTAATAGTATTTGTAAAAAGTGGATATATTTTATTTTGTTTCTGTGATAAAGCTTTTTTACTCAGAAACCTTATTTTTAGGGATTTTATGATAAAACTGAAGGATGAGGATTTACTCCAAGATATTTGATTTAAAACAAATCCAGACCCATTGTTTGAATATGGATTCTGTTTTCAGACTTACACCTGCATTGTGTCTTATATTTCACCAGTTATTTTTCTGCGTTCGTTTAAATGCCTTTTGATATTATTTATAAGGATTATTTTACATACTTGGACTCCTTGTGGACTATAACTATCAATCTTCAATCCCAATTAATTAACAATATAAAATTTGTTAATTCTTTGGTTAATATCAAAAACTGCAAAATGTCTGAAGTTTTACCTTATTTACAAAGCTAAAAAATTAGCTTGCCAAAGTTTTATTGATGCTGGCAGAAGACAGGAAACTCCTGATTCTGGTTCAGATAAAAAGGACTTCATTACTTATCGCACAGGAGGCAGCATGAGTTTAATGTTTGCATCAGCTTCCACTTGCTCCCCAAGTCCCACTGGAGCTGTGCAGAGGGAGAATTTTCATATTCAGTGGATTTGTATCACAGCTGAGGATCCCCAAGTTTGGGAAACACCTATCTTTTATAATAAGCTGTAAACAAAACTGTCTGACCTTTGCCCTAGAGATAGACATTGCCTTTATTTTACTGGACAGAAAACAAATTTCCCTCTGCTCCAGAAAGAAGAATTATCCCCATCTTCTGAGGTGACTCACTCTGCAAACATTCTTGAAAAGATAGCCCAGAACAAAAGGTTGCCAGTGAGTCTGTTCATAAAGTGTGCAGAAACATGGGAGATTCACAGATAGTCCAACACTCAATGGTTCAGATACATAAATGTTTAATTGGGGCTGAGGGCAAAAGGGTCATGAGATTCATTATCTTCTTCTTTTATTCAAAGAATTCTTAAATTTCAAATTGTTCAAATTCAGTATTATTCATATATTAGTGACAGTAAGGCATGTGCCTCATTTAAAATAAATATACATATATATGTTTGGGATGTGTTAATCTGCAAAAAAAATTTTATTAATAAAAATGTAAGGTCAATAAATGGAGATAGATATTATTCATATTGTAACCAACTAGAAAGTAGAAAATTAATTGAGAAGAAAATGGCTAAAATCCTGTGAAATGTGATATACAAATAGCATCAGTCTGGTTCAGAGCTCTAAAATGGAGTGAGCAAGGCATTCTATTAATAAGGACTACCTGCATGACCTACAACTTGCAAAACAGGAACTTGCCTTGAACCCTTGAACTGGGCCAAATCTCCATGACCACAACATCCTGGAAAACAGCTGAATTTTGCCAATGCTGCAACTCCTGAATAGCAACAACCAATTAACTATGAATTCATGTACTAAGCTAGCAACCACCACCAATGATAATTCTTTCAAAACAAGTTGTGTAATCATCATCCTTTAAAAAACCTCTACCCTGACCTCCTCTATTGGAAACACAAGTTGGCTTTTAGTCCAATCTGTCTCCTGAATTGCAATTCCCAAGATCCCATTAAACACCTTGTCTTACTGCTTTGCAATTTGGTCTTTCACCTCTTCTTGGTTGACAGACCTTATCACTTGAGAAAGACAGTAGAACAGGCAACCTAGGCTTGGAAATTGAGTCTAGATTCTATCTCCAGTCCTCCTCTGTAATAAAGGCATGTAAATGAATTTCTCTATGCCCCATTTGCCTTAAATTTTGATAAAATATATATTTGTGTGTGTGTGTTTGAAAGTCACTGTTACTGCTGTTAAAGCATTGTAGAAATTAGTATTTTTCATAGTATACAAAATTGTGTTTGTAAACAGAGAGTAAAATTATTACATAGAAAGATTAATGGCAATTTTAATCTTATTATTATATAAATACTCATTTAATTAAAAGAAAAAGAGAATACAGATCATATACTCTCTTATGTTTGTGATTTTTAAAAGTAGCAAAAGGGAAATCCAAACATGCCAAAACAAAAACATAATTTAATAAGATGAGTGATTTAAAACATTTAAGCATTATAGAAGTAGGACATTTTTGTTAAAACTATGTCTCATGGTTAAATGGATGAGTTTAATCCAAAAATTTTAATAAGTATTTTAATGAACTTCCAAGTTATCAAAAATGTAAATTATAAAAGACTGAGCAGAAACCGTTTTCACTTTCATTGCAGAATAACTTCTTTAAGAAAGAACGATGAATTGCTTCCTTTTGCCTTATCTTTGCCAGTCTCTTCTCCAAAAACGAGCATTTATAGAGCACTTTTTTTCATCCTTAATTTCTGATTGTCAGTCTTATATGACCCATGCTTATGACATCACAGATCTCTTCCCATGGAGAGAGTGGTTTGTGATGTCTTAATTAAATGCACTGTGAGGCTTGAACATTTCTAGAATAAATAATCATTCTGGGAGCCCATCTAAATACAAGTGAAAATAAAATGTATTTGCATACATGAATAAATTATAGGTAAAAATGAAGATAACATGTAAAAGAAAGATAATACTGTCACTTTTCTGATGACTAGAGTTATAGCAACAACATTTATTCAACATTTCATACGAACAAGAATAAATGCATTAAAAATTGCTATGTCACCTGTGGCCCAATAAACGACTATACTTACAAATTCCTAATTCACTGAAGTTCCCAGGATTTGGTTTTGGGATCATCAATTATTTATATTCCCTTTGAATGAAACATTTCTGAGTACTTTTCTTTAGTTGTGGGAGATATAATTATTACATGAAGTTTTGTCAATTAAATTGGTGAAATTCATCTCTTATCTATTTGACAGATCATTTTAAACGTTTCACCTTTAAGGTAAATATACTAGCTATAAGCGGAAGAACAGACAGTGGTTCCTTCTTAACTAAGTTATCATTGAAACCACCACATGAACCAACTTGTCTGATAAAGAGATTATTTAGAATAACATTTAAACTTTGCAAAACATTCATTGATTTAGTTCTTACAATGTTGCTTTTTGATAATTATAAATAAAATGAGCATCTTTTAAATGAGTTATTTGCTAGAGAGCCATTTTTTCAAACTTGGGATTACAGGAATTTCAGAGGATTGAAATATAGTCATTCATTCATTTCACAGTACTTTTATTAAGCCTCAGCTCTGTATATCTGTATACAGTCCAAACATTTCCAGATCTAAAGATAATCAAGATCACCTGACTGAAGACTGGGCCAATTATATGCAGATCCAGCTTCCATCAGTAGAAAGCTAATGCCTCCTTGTTGAAAACATATAATCATTTTAAAGTATCTTCTTCTTTCTTTCTTTTTTTTTTTTTTTTTTAGGAGAATGTCAAAAAAGCAGTCTAATTTTATGTGCCTGGGAGTAGCTATCTAAGCTTCAGGCAATACAAACACTGCTATTACTAGGGAGTAAAAGCTCTGCATAATTAACAAACATCATCAGCCTTACAGTTCCTGTAGAATGCGGTAAGTTCCTTGCCTGAAGGCTGCTCTCATCCTAGTAAGTCTGTTTACCCTGTCCAAGATTAGATTAGTTTAATTATTATGAAAAAGACTGCTAAGATCTTACAGCCTAATTATGCAAATGTTTCTAAATGTTCACAAAAGTAATTTATTTATTTGGAGATAAATGAATCTGTTTTGTCATAAAACAGATTGCAGTCCTGGCAATGTACAAGTAGGGTTATGTAGCCTTGGGCAAATCTTTCACCACAAATATCAGTGGGATCCCTAGATTACAACATTTAAAAATACATAAATGTTTTTTAGCAGGTTTTTATTGTTTTTGTAAATTATAGTAATCCCAGAAAGAACTATCACAGGTTTAATACTCAACCCAACCTTGTTATGAAAACATGGTTTCTCAGCAGAAGCATTTAAAAGATGCTAACAGCTAAAACATTCCTGGTAGACCTATTAAGGTACACCTGTTTTATTATGCTTCAGAGCAGATATATTCACAATACTGTTGTTTTCCCCCTCTTCCTTGTAGTATCATAGTTTAAGTAACTCATAAAAAAAGCTGTAAACAGATAGTAGAATATATGTATAGATCATAATATCTGTATTAATTTTACCTTTAAAAATAGTATTACATTTAAATACGTTAAACTAATGCCTTTATCAGAAAATGACTTGTAAATAAGCTTCTAAATAATAATACCTTGATACATAATTTAGTTGAAGCTTGCAAACTTGGAAACACACACTTTAATCTACCGAGTCTTTGTGTTACCAATATCAATAATATTCTTAAATAGTTACATCTAATTAACCCAACTGAGGTCAGTTGTCCAGAGCTTCAAACTTTGATATTGAAACTTTTGCAAATTTGCTAAGTTTAAGAATTTTTAGCAAAACAAATATTTAAAAAATGGGCCAGGGACTTGGTAAGGGAACTATAATGGATATATTTTGTTCTTGCTTACCTAACGTTTGCTATTTTTTTTTTTTTTTAAGAAACAAGGCCCATTTAGCCTGGGGGTAATCCATTTTCTAGGTTTGATTGAGGGGGAATAGACTCAATCTCTTTTCCCTCCTAGCACAAGCATGATCACCTGACCTAAGTCAAGCCAATCCCAGGACTTACCTGTCAGAAGCTATCAGGAAATGATGATGATGTTGCTGCTGATGATGATAGATTAATAAGAGTTGCAATATAAAAAGTCATCATTTATTGAGCACTTGCTATTATGCCAGATACTGTGATCAGCTCTTATGTGCATAATTAATCTCATTTAACCATCCTTTTCCACTGAGCTATTTGGATAATTGCAGAGCTATTAGGATATGAGACTTGGGCTATCACCAGCCTGATACCCACAATATAGGGAGATGTCAAAAAGATGGAGCTTTGAGAACATTGCTTGAGGACAAAGACAGCATACTCCTCTCTGCACTGGACTTGTCTCTTGCAATTAGGAGCTACAGTGTCCTATAATGAATATAGGAGCTATAATGAATATTATATTGCAAGTAACATATCCTAAAATAGGGGTCTGGTCATTAGTCACAGTTGGCCATCCTATGAGGAGCCATGTTCTGACCAGAGGATACAATGCACATGAACTAGAGAAATCCTCAACTTGGAAATAAATGCAGAATTTGAATGATACATCAGAGAAGGAGGAGTGCATATTTCAGAATCTATATTGTAGTTGTTATGTTTTATGTATTTAAAAGTGAATATGTAAGAAAAAAGGAGGGGGTGTATATATGCTGGATAGTTCACAGTGAAATTCAAAGGAATATGTTGTTTTAAGGTACCCAGCAACTCCTTCCACTTTTTTGGTTAAAAAACAACCAAAACTTTTTTATGTGGAGTACTGATTTCATATTTCAGTTCAAAGGGGATAGTCCTGTTTCTCTGTGTAACAGAGAATATGACCTGGAGAGGAGTAAAATATTTCTGTCTCTTCAAAACCCCCCTACCCTTTTTGAGAACTAAAACTTACATCCCTGTCTCAGGCCAGTGGTCAGGAGGGGCAGGAGAGTGTCCTTTGTTCTTTGTGCTTGGGGGAATTGCCCGAGCAGAGATTGGGATATTGTCTCAGCCAAAAATGGAATCATGATATTAATCAGAACCTTTAAAAGCTTTGTACTTCTACTCACAGGACATTAGTACTTTGAGATGGGACTTGGCAAACCTCCTCATTTGCCAGCAGATTAATAAACCCCTCTTTCCTTCTCCTCAAACCACTTATCTATCCTTGTTCTTCTGTTGCAGCCTTGGGGACAAGTACCGAACTTTCAGTAACACCTCCACCCCTGCATACAGGTAGGTACACAACTCAATTTAGGCAGTCACATGCTTCATTAGGAATATCCTGAGAGACAAAACAGGGAAGAAATTTTTCAGCTAAAGTTGTTAAGACAACTTGATGTGGGTCTTTGGGGTGACAGGTGGTAGGAGCTATGGCTATCTTGCCCCATTATGAGAGTCTGTCTGGAGGAGAAGCAATTGACAGAAGAAAATGTTGAGTACCTGGGTCTAGCCATGGCTGAAATCAGATTTAACTCTGGACTTTTCAAATATTTGAGTCAATAATTTCCTTTTTCTGCATTACCTAGTTGGAGGTTGATTCCTCTCACTTGTAGCCAGAATCCTGCTGTGAAGAGAAAATTCCAAGCTCATATGAAACAAGTTAGAAACCAAATCCATTTTTACCCTATATTTATGTTTGTAACCATTGCTATTAAATTTAGTTTATTTATTTATTTATTTATTTATTTTTGAGACAGAGTCTCGCTTTGTTATCCAGGCTAGAGTGAGTGCCGTGGCATCAGCCTAGCTCATAGCAACCTCAAACTCCTGGGCTCCAAGCAATCCTCCTGCCTCAGCCTCCCACGTAGCTGGGACTACAGGCATGTGCCACCATGCCCGGCTAATTTTTTATATATATATCAGTTGGCCAATTAATTTCTTTCTATTTATAGTAGAGACGGGGTCTCGCTTCTTGCTCAGGCTGGTTTTGAACTCCTGACCTTGAGCAATCCGCCCGCCTCAGCCTCCCAAGAGCTAGGATTACAGGCGTGAGCCACAGCGCCCGGCTTAAATTTAGTTTATTTTTAGAAGTGTGAGTCATGTTCATCTCAACCTGGGGTTCTAAACACAGCAAATCAAAATTCTGTCAACTTTACTTATATCTACTAGCTTCTTTTACTTTTGGACCCTGGGGAACATCATGGCAGCCACCCTTAGGGCCCTGGTCACAAACTTGTACTGTCAGCCTCCTGCATTGCCTGTGCCTTTAAGACTAATGGGGGCTAAATCTCAACAGAAAAAGAATGACACCTATATAAACATTCAGAAATGTTTTCTTTTAGTCATGTGTTCTATTATAGGAGGATAGAGTTTATTAGAAAGAAGTGTGTTAGAAATAATGGAGTTTTGACTTGTTTGTGTGTGTGTGTTTAAATTAACTGCTATTTAAATAAACAGGACAATGGGTCTACAGGGAGATTCCAGCTGAAGTTCTCTTGTCTGTTAAATAGATAGTATGAACAATGAGTTTAACAGGCTTCTATGATATCACCATTATCTTGGTTATTGAACCCATTAGAAGCTGTTTTCTGTCAGTTAAATGATCATATCTCAAGTGCACCTGCTTTATAATTATTCTTTTGGAGCAAGATCATTAACATATTCCTTAAGTCATTTACAGGCAATTTGACTTAACATTAACAATCTTTTTGCTCTTTATAACAAATTAATGAGATATATAAATATATGGGTGCACAGAAATTCTATACAGTTCAAATAATTAGGCTACAAAAGATCTACAATTTATGTGACTTACATATCTTTAAATAAGTAATGGTTGAGACTCATTAGCAGGTATGATATTTAGGAAATTTCTGAAATAATGCAAAGATAATCACAGTGGACAAATTAACACAGATTTCTCTTTCAGTTTGAGTAATCAGCAGAATATGATAGCTGTTAGCTCATTCCCTGACACATAGTAAGTATTCATTTAATGACTGTAATATTTACCATGTTATGTTCAGTTTTATGAGAGTATAGAAATGATATATTTTTCCCTCAAAGAATTTTTAAGGTAGTAGAGAAAACATAGCAGAAATCATTCAATGATATCATTTTTTGTAAATAATGCCACTTTGCAGTTGTTTCGTATTATGTACCAGGAATTGTCCTAAGTGTTTCACTTAGGTGTATTAATTAACACATTGCTTGCCACACTAGAAAAAAATTTTTTTCTGGAGCCATGGCGTTTTATTAAAACAAAACAATCCTTCCTAATATGATATTTTTTATTGTTTTCTGTGTGTGAGTTATATGCAATGCAATCCACGTTTTTAGAATTAAATTATCAATATTAATTGTAACAATAAGAACATCAACATGTAAGATTTTCACAAACCAACTGCAGTGTTTTGCTTTATGTGGCCCCAGACTCAAAACTAGCCTGAGTTAAACACAACTCACATGGCAGTCAATGTGTCAATCTTCATAATACACCTACAATGTTGTTCTTAATATCTCTGGTTCACACACAAAAACAATGAGGCACAAAGAAGTTAGGCAACTTAGTTAAAGTCACAGAGCTGTAAGGCAACAAAGCTATGATTTGATTTGGGGCAGTTGTCTCAGCATAGTTATCTTCACTACTGCCTCATAAGGTATGGAGGCCAACTACGAAGGTAGTGGTTGCAAAGTTAAATTAGCATTAGAATCACCTGGAAGGCTTGTTAAAACCTTAAAGAAGAGCTAACTATCCCATCGTTTCAGTAGGTCTGGGTTGAGGCTATAAATTTGGGTTTCAGATGATATAGATGATTGTGGTCCCAGAACTATGTAAACCACTGGCCTAGGGTAATGTATCAGGAGGAGATGAAACAGAAGTTCATCATCATGGGGCTTGGATCCTGCTTGTATGCAGTTTAAGCTGCTGATACCTGGACTAAATGAGACCTTGGTTGGTACTGGGGAGTCCAAAATGGGAAAGCCAATTTCCGTTGCTTCCTAGATATTATCATTTTTACTTCTCCCCAGACTTTAATGCCTAGTGTAAGAGTTACAACAAAATAAAAGTCATGGCTCTTATGAGATGACTTATTTGGGAAAGAGTAGTTTTACGATTATACTCCAGGAGCACACTCATGCAAAAATGGGTTTCTGTGTGTTTATAGAAGGATAATCAGTAGGCTAAGTGACTGAAAGTATTAAAGTCTCTTCAAGAGATCATTTCCAAGAAAGAAGTCTACATTAATTTATTCATTCATTGATTCAACAGATATATATTAATACCTATCATGTACTAGGTTTACCATATTAATAAAACATAGTTCCTCCTCCTGTGCAATTTATCTTCTAGGAGGGAGAAACTGGTAATAAACAAATTCATAGTATGTTGGTGGTAATGTGTGCTATGAAGAAAAATAAGTCAAGGAAAGGGATAGGAATCCATTAAACAGAAAATCAGAGAAAGCATCTTGTATAAAGTAATATTTAGAGAGACCCAAATGAAGTAAGGGAGGGAGTTATGCTTTTAATTTTGGAAAATTATAATTTAACATATGTGAGGGAAAGAAAAAAGTCAGGGATGACACCATGGTTATTGTCTGAACATTTGAAATAATATAGTTGCCATTTTCTCGTTTGGAAAAGTGTGCCAGCATATTGGAGTCATTCAACAGGCAGAGTCAGATTTTTAGGTGAGAGGCCCAGGCTGGAGAAATATTAATAGATTTAGGAAAGAACATATAGATGATATTCAAAGCCATAGAACGCATGACATTACCTAAGACATAAGTATAAACAGAAGTGAAAAAAATTGTCTATAAACTTATTCTTGGGGTACTCTAACACTCCAAGATTTAGAATGTGAAGAGGACCCAACAAAATGTACTGATAAGGAGTAGCTACAACATAGAAGAAAATTTGACAGAGTAATAGCCCAGAAACCAAGAAAAGAAGCAATTTCAAGAAGGAGGTTGATAGATTGTATCAAATGATGCCAATAAGTCTAGGAAGGTAAGAATAGAAATTAATGATTGGCTTTAGCAACTTGAAGACATTGAACAGAGCAGTTTGGGGCCATAATAAAGACAAAAGCCATATTAATACAGTGGCATAAAGGGAAATAGTAACATAATAGGAATATAAATAGTAGAATAAATAAATTGGAATATATATATAGTCATATAGTAAGATAATTTATAGCAATACAAATGAACAAATTAGAGCTACAAGCAAGAGCATAGATAGATCTTACAAACATAACATTGAGTGAAAAAGCAAGACACAAGAGTAGCTACTATATGATTTCATGTATTAGATGTTCAAAATTTAACAGAATAAAATAATACTATTTATGCCTACACTGATAGTCAAACTGTAAATAAAAGCAAGAAAGTAACTACCATAAATGTCAAGATAGTAGTTCCATTTGGAAGGAAACAAAATGTGACTAAGAAAGGATACAGGGGGCTGCTGGGATGCTGACAGTGCTCTATTTCTTATTTTGGGTGGTGATAGCAGGAGTGTCTCCCTTATTTGTATACATTATTCATATACATAGTGTTTTATGTAGTGTATCATGTGTCCTATATTCACAATAAAGTAATTTTTAAGAGTGAAAAGAAAGTATAGGACATGAGATTTTAACAGTCTTTTCAAGGATTTTTGCAATAAAGGGGAGAGGTAGAGAAATGAAGCAATGGCTGGAAAGAGATGTGAATTCAATGGGAGATAGTGTCACATGTTTGCAAGCTGATGACAGTTATCCTATAGTGAGGGAAAATCGATGACTTAGGAGAGAGAGGAAACGATGCAGGAGTGAACTCTTTGAATAAGTGAGAGGAAAACAAAGTGGAATTGGCTTTAGATAAAAGGACAAGTAATTAATACACATAACCAGAGGGATGGTAGAATGCAAGGGTATAGATGTGGGCATTTGGCAAACCAAATTATGGCAGAAGGTGGAAGGTTTTCTTGATTGCTTCTATTATATTTTGTCAGTGAAACAAGAAATAAGTCACTGTCTGTTGTCATAGAGAAGGAGAAGGTGTTAGGGATTTGAATAAAAAGGAAAAGATATAAAATTATTATCTAAGAAGTAATGGAAAATGAGATGTACAGGGAAAAATATCTAATAGCATTGTCTATCAAGCAGAACTAAGGTCCCACTTGGAGTTAGTGGTCAAAACTTTAATATGAAAAGGTCAGCGATGTTTTATTTTCTCTGGCAACACTCAACTATGCAGATACAAGCAGCACATACTTTAAGAATTGGACTTGAGTTAGGATTTTGCTGGGCAGATATTATTTGGTAAGAAATTAGCAGGAGTATCCATTTAAAGGACTGTTCATAATGGTAGATTTTAGCATCCAAGGTCAATAAAGGGGTGGTGTAGAGTCAATGAGTTCCTGTTGGCATGAAAGCCTGTAGAGTCAATGACTTCCTGTTGGCATGAAAGAATGAGAACTATATCTGCAATATTGAGTTAATATTTGTGGCGAAATACTGACTTAGGAATGTAAAAAATTAGAGTACATCTTTGTATATTTTCTCACGAGTTTCTTCCATGCTCACAAACCTTGTTCCATCCCTCCCTTTCTAAAGCAGAGCTTATTGAATAGGAAAGGAAATGTGTGTGGGTGGGTATGGAGATGAGTGCATAAAGGAAAAAAAAAAAAAAAAAAACAGAAGAAAAAGTCTCCCATTTAAAGGAGTTCCTGAGGCCCCATCCTTTGGAAGCGTAAGCAGAGCTATTTGTCTCAGGCAGTGTTTCAGTCATGACCATCACCCCTTCTGGATGGGCAATGAGATTTTCTTTGTTGTGACTTTCCACAGCACCTAGTACAATGCTCATTATCATTAATAGCTTACTAACCAAAAAAGAGCAGAATGCAGAGGGAAAAGGTTTTGCTGAGGTCATTTTCTTATTAAAAAAGTTGTACTCCTGCTTCAATTTATTAAAGCAAGGGCCAGAAATGGGGTCTAGAATTTCAATTTACAGCATGAGCTCACTCATCTATACTCTTCCTCTACACAATTTATTTAGAAAGTGATATCTTAGATAAGAAAACGAGGTGCATATATTTGTACTATTAAATTAAATACTATAAGAAATATATATAGTAGTTCTATGGAATTCTTGCCAACATTGCTATTCCCAAAAATTACCCACTGGTTAATATTTTAAACATGATATTTTAAGGGCCCAAGAATATTAGCATTTAGGAAAAACGCTGTTTCAAAATTTATTTTGTTATCATGCAATTAAAATATTCAGATAATCAGACATAGAATTAGCCTATACATGTTTATGTGTGAAGATTAGTCTTTAAAAGACAAGTTTCTGGCTGGGCACAGTAGCTCATACTTGTAATCCGAGTACTTTAGGAGCCCGAGGCAGGAAGATCACTTGAGGAGTTCTGGACCATCCTGGTCACATAGAGAGAACCCTTCACTACCAGAAAAAAAAAAAAAAAAAATTAAAAAATTAGTTGTGCATGGTGGCACATGCCTGTAGTTCTAGCTACTCGGGAGGCTGAGCCAATTGGATTGCTTTGAGGCTGCAGTGAACTATGATCGCACCACTGCACTCTAGCCTGTGTGACAGAGCAAGACTCTGTCTCAAAAAGGAAAAAAGAAAAAAAAAAATAAAGAAAGAAAGAAAGAAAAAAGGAAGGTAGGAAGGAAGGAAGGAAGGAAGGAAGGAAGAGGAAAAAGAAAGAAAGAAAGAAAGAAAGAAGAGAAAGAAAGAAAGAAAGAAAGAAAGAAAGAAAGAAAGAAAGAAAGAAAGAAGAAAAGAAAAGAAAAGAGACAGAGAAGTTTATCTTTAAGTTTAAAAATGTGGAGGGAAAAACTTCACATCTGATGTTTTAAATTTTAACTTGTTTTCTTTATTTGCACAAAACAATGCTATATAAATAGGAATAGTATATTAATAGTAGAACAAACAAACTGGGACAGTGGCCCTAGTCTTCCCCAGGTG